AAAATAATGGATTCCTTTTTTGGCCATAACAACTCATGAAAAAATACACAGTAGCTTCTTGTGAAGTGTTTGAGTATCTTGTGACCTATGTATAGTTTTACTGCTCTTTTTAGAGTGACCACCCAGTATCAGAGGTTTTTATGTTAATTACCACTCTCCCTTTTCCTCTGTATTCTATAAAGGTTATACTGGCTCAAATGTAGGTTTCATGTTCTTTTATGTTCTTTGTATTTATTGTGTATGTAAAACTTGAATAAGCTGCGTAGGTAGTATTATTTTTCAAATGTATAAAAGTTTTTCTTTCAAATTCTCCTTCATCTTAAATGTTTAATCAGCTGCCAGATCTTGCCATTTCTGTCTCTACAACATTTCTTGAATCCAACACTTCCACAGTCACACAGCCTTAATTCAGGCCTTCAGTATCTCTCACCTAGATTATTTATTGCAAGGGCCTCCAAACTGGTCTCACTCTGCCTCAAATCTCTCTCAACTTCACAACATCCTCCATACTGCCGTTGTAGTGTTTCCTTAAGCTCATCTGACCTATAATGCCAGTGACTGTCAGTTGTCTCTAGGACAAAATGTAAACTCAACTCAATTTAGCAGCCTTCACAACCTGGCTCCAGCCTATCTTCTGTGCTTCCTTGGACATGCTTTCATTATTTCCCCTCCAAAAATCTGCAATCCAGACTGGCTATGTCTGTTTTCCTTGCACAAGTCACTCCATCTCCCTACCCCTACCCTCCAACCTTTTTTTTTTCTTTTTGGCATTGTCAATTCCCCCCCTTCTGTGCCCATTCTGTGCCCTGTCTCCCCCAAATCCCTGAATTAAATCCCTCCTCACGTCTGTCTCTTAGATTTCTTTCATCTTTCTGGAGACAGCTTAAGCACCACTTTCTACATGAAACCTTTTCTGATTCCTCCTAAGTGTGCCTTCCTTCTTAAGCCATCTTATATTTACTTTGTATTTCTTTATATTTATTCTCTTTATATGCATGTTGCGTATACTTAGATACATGTTTTCTCTATTAGAATGTAAGATCCTTGTTTCCAATACCTAACAGTGCCTGGAGCATAGTAGACGCTTGATAAATGCTTGTTAGAAATAGAATATCTTAATTGCTTGACTAATAGGTTGCTAAAATTTTTATTAACACATTTTTAAGCTTTAGACTTATTCAACAAATGAGTTAAGAGTATGCTAGATGAATTCAGATTTTAATACTCATGAAAATTTTACGTACTTAAAATGTGTTTGGTAATTTACAAGGAATAGCTAAATGTCTTGTACTTAAATGCAGGTATATATAGCAGACAAGTTTTCAAAATCAAGTATTTACAAAGAGGTAATTGTTTGTGATTGGTTTGTAGAGTCCTTCATCCATTGCATACAGGGAGCACACCTATATTGCTGCATGTATCTTCCAACTTGATCCAGATTTCCACAGAAGGAGAAAATTCATTTCAGTTCGTTAAACATTTTGAGCAGGGGGAGTCAGGGAAATTTTCATGGAAGATGGAAATGAGAGCTTCAGAGTTCAGCCTGGGAAGAAGAGAAAGATTTCCCAGGTGTGGGTAAAGGGAAACCTATCCAGGCATTGAGGCCAGCCTCTAAAAAGAGGAAGTAAGGTAAAGAAGAAATCTAGTCATGGCTGGAATTAGAAGTAGGTACTTCTCATATATTTGAAAACATTTCAAACAGTTCACTTAAGTAGTTTAAGCATTTCACTTTTTTCTGTTTATGTGTGCATGTATATATGTGTATATGTATACACATACATATATATTAACATATACAAATTACTAATTTTCCTTGACAAATACTTTTTTCCCTAAGAAGTTAACCCTGTTCAACTCCTGTCTAAATTATCAAAGAATTCATATTATTGTTTTTTTAAAAAGTCTCTAAACAAGATACAGAATCACTGAAAAATTAATCTGTTGATACATTGGGGGGAGGGGTTAAGTATTGTCTAGATGTGTAGATAAATAAGCCAGGTCTGTCAGTTAATATATTTTGGACAGTGCCAACGGAAAATGAACTGCTTCCAGAACTGAACAGGAGAAAGAGCAGGCTAGATTGTCTTTGGGAAATTATGCAGTTTTTATGTCTCAAGTGTGTCTCTAGAACCATCCTTTTAACATCAGTATTTTTCCACTGATGCTCTCTGTTTGTTACTCACAGAGTATCAGACCTTTAAATAAAGTTGAAGGTTACCCTATGATGTGTGATATACATAAGAAGGTTGCAACAAATTAGCAACTAAGAATTAATTGCACGAGAGACATACCATAAAGGATACATATGTGGGAAAGGAAATAGGTTGATCATAAAGTGAGAGCAAAGGATAAAAGTTGGGCATTCCTTTATGCTTCACTGGCCTACCCAACATGTTGGGGGGGATCCCCTATAAATGATTTATGGAGGTCATGAACAAAATTTGCTAACAATGAGAAGGCACGGCTAAATTGTGATCTATATAGCTGAAGACAGTATCTGCATTAAGATAATAGTTATATGTGTTTTATATACATATACATATTTCTATACACATAGATTCACATACTTATCACTTTCAGGTTTGCAAAGCACTTCACAATTATTTCATTTGATCCTCACAAACTAACATAGGTGCCATTATCCCTATTTTATAGATCAGGTAACTGAGGCAGATAGGTTTAAGTAAATTATGTAGGGTCACATGCTAAAAATTTGTCTATTTTTAGATTTGAACTGAGGTCTTCCTATACCAGCTGCCTCTGTTCACTGTATCATCAAGCTGCCTCCACTGTGAATGCTATTAATACCAGACAAAGGAGTGTGTCTTTTATCCCATAGATAGTAGAGAAACACTGAAGGTTCCTGAGGAAGAAAGCTACATAATCATACCTATCAGTACATTAGAAAAGTAACTTTGGCATATGTATAAAGAAAATAAAGAGTTAGTGTTATTTGTGTCCCACACCCACCTGCAGTTATATTTAAAAATGAATCTGGCTTTAATGCTATAAAATAAAATGTTATTAATAATTTGACCAATTTGAATCAGTGAAAAATTAGAATTTTTTTAAAGCTAAATTTTATATTTCACATTAAACTGTCAGATGATAGTTTTGCCTAATAAAGACCTTTAAGAGACCTGTTTTGATGACTAGCTAAGAATTATTTGTAATTAGAATTTCAGTTTTTCTTTGTAACTAGGGATAGGGTCTAGACCTGGATTTTCATTGATGTAGGAAACTCAGGTGAGGAAAACTCTTGCTACCAATGAAGACCTGCACTTTTTCTATCATTTATAGTCTTAAAGAGATTTGCCTGGAGTACTCTGAGGTAAAATGACATGCCCAGCATCATTCTTTTAGTATGTGTTCGGATCCCAGGTCTTTGTGGCTCTGAGGCCCACTTTATTCACTTATACCTATTCTGAGTCCCATTACAAATAGGTGTATCTAAATGTCAGTTGTATTTAAACATTCACTTTTAGTACTAACCATGTCATTTGCTTTAGTAAGCCCCCTTTTCATACCTAAAGGTTAATAATCTTAAATTATTATAAATTCAAAATTATTGAAATTAGGTCTCTAAGGACCTAATTTTTTGAGTGAATTAATGTAATTTTGTATGCATGTGTAGATATTTGTTGCTAGAATTTTAAATATTTAGATGTTAGAAGAAAATAACTAAGTAATTTATTAATTAGGATACTTACTAGACATTGCCAGACATTTTTGGGGAGAACTTGGTTGTATTTTATAATGCCAGTAACATGCTAGAATTATAGTTTATCACCTGTTGCCATATAGTATTAATCACTATATATCTTTTAAAAGGGTAGTTAAAATTTGCCATTAATCAGGTCAGTTGGAATTGCTTTAAACTATTGCATTTAAAGAGATATCTCTTGACTTTTTACAAGATATACAAATGATAAAAAGAAACACTATTTTCAAACTTACAGTGTCAATAATTTGGCAGTTTCTAATTTTTTATGTCACTAGAATCATTTTTCTTTTTACATAGATCTAGCAATAGCATTCATTCCTTTGCTAAACTTTTCTAACGATTAATGAGGTGCAAAATTTTTTGTCTGCAGCCTAGCTCTACCACCCAATTTTTCTAGCTTTTACCATGTTGTTACCTCCATACACTTTTCTCCAACTAGTTATTCAGCTCTGCATTGTTCTGTCCCCAGATTATCTTCTCTACCATTCTTCATTGTTTTCTTCCCTCATTCCTAGTTGTTGACTTTCTCCAGACCTCATACAACACCTGATTTCACAACCCTCCAGTGCAGTGTTGTTTGGTGTTTTTCCTCTACCTCTAAGTTCCATGAGAACTAGGGCTTCTTTTGTTTTTGTTTTGTGGTGAGGCAGTTGGGCTTGGTAACTTGCCCAGAGTCACACAGCTAAGTGAGTGTTGTGTCTGTGGCCAGATTTGAACTCGGGTCTTCATGACTCCAGGGCCAGTGCTTTATCCTCTGCGTGCCACCTAGTTACCCCAACAAGGGCTTTCTTACCTAAACTTTTATCTTCCCAACCACTTAGCTTAGTGCTCTGCAGTATCTGCAGTATCTAATAAATTTTTCTAAATGAACTGAATGTTAAGGATAGGGAAGACCCATTTTCTGCATTTTTTATGTCATTTATTACTACAGTGCTAGGTTTGAATACTGAATAAATAGGCTTCCTGAAATGATGTGCAGGGGAAAAAAAATTATCTGGATTGGGCTTTTTATTTAGAACAGAAACTAACCTTGCTAAAATTTTTACCACACTTAAGTGTTTTGTTTGTAAGTATTATTTGTATTAATTGGCTGTTTGTGATGTATTGCTGTTCCTCTTTTTATTAAAATTGAAGTCACATAGGTAAAAATTACTGATAAGGGAAAGGATAATACTTTCTAAGAGCTAGGACTGTAGGGTAAGCACTTTTGCAAACATTATCTCATTTGATAACTCACATACAACTAGAACTGTGCTTTTTTTTTTTCTCCTTTAAGGTTTAATGCATGTGCACAATAAACTTGTGGACCCACTGTACAGTATGAAAGAAGAAAACTGAAGGATTGAGGCGAAATTCTCCTTGAACAGAACAACATTTTCATAGGTAGTGAACTAAATTTTCTGCTATGCAATGTGCTAAACAAAACACAAGAATCTGGAGGATTGTGATTGAAATGTCCAGTATTATATACATCGTTAAACATTCCATGTGATGAGAACTTAAGTCCATTTCCCCAATGTTTAGTTTTGAAGAGTTTTCAAAGCTGTTCATTAAAAACTGAAAATCAGAAATTTAAAAGTCTGCCTAATTTAGAATATAATGTTAAGAAAATAAGAATTTTGTAAATCATTTATCTTTCATTCTTTGACTATATAAATTCAATTTTTTTCAATCCCCTGCTGATCTGACAGTTGTTAAAAGTATGAACCATAACAGTTGCACAATCCTTACTTTGGGGAAAGCTGTGTTTACATTTTTTATGTATTTCAAACAAGCTTTTGCACGCTGTTGCCTTAAAAGCATCTTACTCCAGTAGCACTTGGACATTTCAAGTCCTGTTATATTATGCTAATAAAAAACTAATTTGATATGAGAAGACAGTGCCTATACCGTTTACTTTCTTTAAAAAAGTGTCTTTTTATGTGCATGTGTTTTTATGCAGCTTTTGCCATAGCACTTTAAGTGTGCTTTTTCATTTACTTACTCAGGTTCATGCTTTTAGTTAAGTACAAACTTTGGCAATTAGGACCTTTATACCCAAGAAACACTTTTTTTAAATTGTTAAACTGCATCAGTGATTAGTTTAATTCATAATAAATCAATATGGCTAAAAGGATGGATAGGCATGCATAAAATGAATTACCTATAATCTGTTTTGCATTACAATAGTAACTTGCATCATTTTACTATGTGAACTCAAATATTAGGATTATTTTTAACTTTAACCTTGTAATGTGTAACCTTTTACAAATTTTACTTTCAGAAGATGATTGAAAAGAAATAAAATATGCTCTGGATACATTCCAAGTATTAAATCATAAAATTCTTGATAGTCCTGGTGAATTTGCATTTTATTTTTCAGGTCTTTTACACGAATACAACAAGGAGTATTTTGAGATGCTTTGTTTTAGTCTAGTTAGTTTTATGCTCATGTTCTCCTTGGGGAAAAAAAGTGAAAACTGTATTTTAACAATCTATAAAACAGCTAAATATAAACATTATGGTTTATAAATAACTAGAATTTTTAAATATAAGGGAATATATGTTGATAAACAGGGGAGAGACACCAACAGGGAGAGAAAAACAAATATTTTGTTTAAGTCCTAGACAGGCTTAAAAATCTGTCAAAGAAGGTTGGACTAAATGGCCTATTTTCTCCCTTTGGGCTCTAAAACCAACCTTTTCTCCCCCTCCCCCCAATTAAAATGAGATTCAAGGCCTGTGCCTTTCAGTTATTACTTATAGGACTTCAGACACATACAGACACACCTAAAAAATGAGGAATGAACTAGATTTCATTTGTTATAAGCTTAGAAATAAACCGATCAAACTTTTTAACTGAGATTAATTTTACTAAAAGCAGATTTTAAAATCAAAATACACACATGTATCATACATATAATTTAAATAAACCAAACATAATTATACCTTACAAACATTCATTTATCAGGCTGTCTTTTTAGAACTCTTATAAAAGCATCCTTTGGAACTTCAATATTGCCAACTTTTCTCATTCTTTTCTTTCCTTCTGCTTGTCGTTTTAATAGTTTCATCTTTCGAGTGATATCTCCACCATACTGAGGAAAACCAAAATCACATTAGGGGGGGGAAAACGGTTTATAACCTAAGAAATTTTAAAACTATAGCTGGGTCTTGGTGTCACCTTAGCCACAGTAGCCTTAATTCATTGTAAATTGTTCCCTTTGAATAAACTTTCACCCTGTGCAGATGGCTTACAGTTAGACTCACAGTTTTGGTAGCTACATCATAAGGATTGCCCATTAATCCTTTCCAGTGAATGGAAATTCAAAAGCTAATTAAGTTCCATTATCTAACCAAACTGCGTATAACAACTTGTTGATTCGCAACTTAGTCTGTATCATCTTCCTGAGATCAACAAAGCATGTTAACTGGCCTTTTGTTAAAGAGTAAGTTTTGCTATCCAAAACTCTTGTGTCCAAAATGCCTAGGAATAACAGTGCCTTGCTTCCACCCAGGCTCCACTGCTATCATCCAGGGGAGCAAACCTTATGGAGATGGTACCTGGCAACTGCTACTGCTGCTGCAGCCCCCACCATTCCTGAAGATCAGGGAAAGAAAGTTTAGCCACTACTGGAAATGGTTTTAATCAAAATGATGTTGAAGAAGATAAATTACCCAAATGCCTTTAATATTCTATCCTAAGAACCACTGAGCCTTTCCATTTGCAGCTGAAATCTTCTTTGTTACAATGAGAGATCCTTGACAGCAGGAACTGTCTTCTATTTGTATCTCCAGGACTTACTACAGTGCTTTTCACAGAGTAAGCATTTTTTCATTCATTTGGCTAACTCTTTCTTTGTTGTTTTACTTACGGATTTTTTAAATTTCCAAGGTGAAGACAGTGATGTAGAATGAAATAAAACTACAAATACAGGTAAATTAAAGCATTTTGTTGTTCTTGTCGAGATCTATAATTTCACTGATATAAGGAACTTTCAGTGAGGAAACTCCTGTAGGGGAGTTTCAGAAAGAGAACTCTTTTGCAGCTTGTATAATCTTATCTTAGCGCACAGTAATGCAGCCAGTCTATGGTGGGACTTTGAACCTAGGTCTACCTCCATGAGGTCAGCTAGATCCAGTAAGTTGTACTGCATCTCTATAGGTACTGTAAACACAATCCCCTCCTTGCACAGAGATTATGTTATGGTTGAGACAACAAATATGTATGTAAAGTAGCTAAGCACAAGATAGTTTAAGATACAGGGTACTAGTTGTGGGCTCATCAGGAAGGTTTCATGCAGAAGATGGTGCTTGATTTGCATCTTTAAAAAGCAGAGGGATTCTTTTCACTTTTCACCCTTCTGTCTCAGTAGCCCTGTTCTCCCTTTGGTGAGTTCTTTGGGGGAGTTCTATTTTGGGAAGGGGCCCAAGTCAACCATCCTTTCCCTTTCAGCTTTGCTTCTGTCTCTCCACACTTTGCCACTAGGTACCTTAGCTGCCTTCTCATTTTGCAACTGCCTGTACCTGTGCCACACACCTCCCTAACCATGAATTCCTTCCAGGACCTCCAGACCTCCATTTTAGGGAGTGACCCAGGCCATCATTCATTCTTCATCTCTATGTCCCCCCCTCCTCCCACTAGAATGTAAGCTCCCTGAAGCAGGGAATAGTCTTTATTTTTTGGTGGTACTTATCCCCAGCATTTGCCTGGCACATAGGTGTTTCATAAATGTTTTATTAAATGATTGACACTATGAAACAAAATTAAGGAGACAGTGTATGACAGGCATATGAAATGGCAGTGCAAAGGCAAAGAGACTGAAAGTGGAGTGTAATATATGAGAAACAAGAGGCTAGTCTCAGTATTGAGGGATTTTGGAAAAGAGCAATAGCCAATGCAGTTGGAAAGATAGGTTGTATAGGGATACAAAAGCTAAATGAGAGGGCTGCTATTTTATCCTAGAGCAGAGGTTCTTAGCAAGAGATATGCCAATGTTTTAATGATTTTGATACTTTGTTTTGCTTGTCTGCAATATTAGAGATACTGTATGCATGGTCATCAGAACCCCTGTCCTAGGAGTAGCAGAGTCACATGGTTTTCTGCCCTTAAGGAAAATCCTTTTGGCAGCTTAGAACTTTTTTGTTTTCAAACTCTTAAAAAATCTTAATTACCCACTTTAAAAAAGTATCTTAGAATAAAAACAAAATGATACATACACATTTTGCCAAGACATTTTTTTTGTAAGCTTTCACACTGTAAAAAGAAATATTTTACATTAACATTCAGTAAGTCTGGGATAAATGTGCATTTATTACAAATGACTTAATTGGATGCTAATTAGGTACAAAGATTTAAAAGAATACTGCTCATTTTACCAATGATATAAAGCCATTGAAGTAGCTGGGTACAGGAATTTGAACCCAATCCTGAATCCAAGTCTAAATGCTCTTTCCATTATTTAAGATTGCCTTTTCATTTTGAAATTGGCAAGAAAGTCTTAAAACTTAACAAAAACATGGAACTGAGAAACATTTTTGTTCTTGTTAAGCTTCTTTAAACCTGATCAGTTATGATGCTAATGAGATCACAATGTACTGCACACAATTTCCCATAATTTCAGAAAAGAATAATTTGTCACAGATTTTATTCTCACTTCAAGTACTATGTGAAAGCCTGGGATTTAGGACACACTTTTAACTCAAACCATCAAAACTAATGGAAAACCTTTTGGACATGGTCCTTGTGGAAATGTATTTTGCTGAAAGGTATTCATTAAATGTTAGCTGAATGAAACTCACCCATCCTACAAGCACATTAGTAGAATTATCTTTAAATAGAAAACATTTAGCTGCTTTAGGCAGCCCAAATTTTTATTTTAATAACCTATTTTAGAATGAACCTTAGTGTTTAAAAAGCACTAATACATAATGATGGAGCTCTAAAAATCACATTCTAGATTATAAAAAAGTTTTCCAAAAATTTGCGTATCACCATGATTTCAAAAAACTTATGTAAATTCTCTCTCTCTCCTCCCATGTATATGTACACTAACCAAAAGCTATTTTTTCTCCAAGGAAGCCCAGAGATGAACATTTAGCTACATTAGTTTTAACTCACGTTTCTCTGGCAATGATTTTACTTCCAATAGCTGCCTGAATAGCTATGTCAAATAGTTGTCTAGGAATTGTATCCTTCAGCCGTTCACATATCCTTTTTCCAATAGGATGTGCCTTTTCTCTGAAAGAGAAAAGGGCATGTTTTAACTTTTTTAGAGTTACATGTATTTTAAATAATCTTTTAGAACAGGAACTCTGGACACCCACAAGTATTCTCAATATAACAAGCAATTGTGATTTTTTTTTTGTTATACTTGAACATGAGTGTAAAACAAAATGGCAACCCAGCTGAACTCTCCCAACTTTCCCCTCCAGACAACTTTAAAATAACAAATTAAATGGAATTCTGCAGTAGCATAGTCAACAAAAGGCTAGGCTAAGACTTTCCAGCTGGAAACAGTTTTCGAGGTTCATAGGAAACATCTGTGACACATGGTAGGGGCCATCCTAGAGCATACATGGCAGCAACACCAGTGGTGGACCTTGAAAATGGTTGCAATGACAGCAGAAATAAATTACAGGGGACCCTAACTTGACAATGAGTGCAGGAAAACACAATGTTTGGCAACTCCATTGCCCATCTGCAATTCTGGGTCATAGCTGCAGGGCAGAGAGGAGTGCTAGTGCTTGTGGCTTCAGGGAAATGGGGACCTACGTATCAGGAAAGCAGGGACTACACATTCCCCAGCAATAATCTTTAGAAGCATAGAAAACTTGCAGATACCCAGAACTACCTCTGAAAACAGCAGCATGACAAAACCTGAGGTCTGAGACAGTGCCTCCCTCCCCCACAAGGTGAGCAGAACCTGAAGTTCAAAATCAAGAAGTAGACTGGGAAAATGATCAAACAACAAAAAAGAACCTGATCATAAAAAGATACTATGGTGGTACGAAAGATCCAAGACACAAACTCAGAAGACAAAAGCTATAAACAAAGCCTCAAAGGGGAAAAATAGTTAATTGAACATAAGCCCAACAAGAATTCCTAGAAGACTTCAAGAACGGAAGAAGAGTGGTAGAGAAAAAATTAGGGAAAGAAATGAGTGATGCATGAAAATTATGAAAAGAGAATAAACAACATGATAAAAGAGGCACAAAAAAAAACCACACTCAAAAATAACACCTTAAAAAACAGAATTGGTCAAATGGTACAAAAATTTGTGTGAACTGGATTTCCTCAAGAGTCATCAGAGAGTCCAGTCACTGAAGAAAAGAACTCCTTAAAAAGCAGAA